TCTCCTTCCTTGTTAGCTCATCTCTCACTGTCTGCTTCTCTCTTAGCTCCCTGTCCTTGGCCTGCACTAACTCAGTCTCCTGCAGTCAGGAGGACCTCGTTACACTGCATTAGTTCCACAGACTTGACTAACTCTCTGTCTCAGTTCTTGATTCTGTCCCTGTGTGCTGATCAGCTGTTGCCTGACCGTCTGTTTCTCTCTCTCACTGGATTCTAGTTGTTGTTGGAGCTCCTGTATCACATTTAATCCTTCCTCTTGTATAGTACTGAAAAAAGTCCCTCACCTGGTTCCTGGATTGCATTTGTTGTCTGACTGTCTGTTTCTCTCTCTCACTGGATTCTAGTTGATGTTGGAGCTCACATTCATTAGCAGCCAACCCATCCTCTGGTTACTATAATTATGGATGATAGTAAGTCCCTCACTTGGTTTCTGGATTGTAATTGTTGCACGACAATCTGTTTCTCCCTTTCACTGGACTGTAGCAGTTCTTCCTGCAAAAATAGAGAGCACGAGTGTTAAACTTGCCACACAATACTTGCACAATTCACCTTCTGTCTCAGTTGGCCCTGGGCCTCAGCTAACTCTGCTTCCTTTCTCCTCAGCTGTCCCTCTAGCTCAACATTCTCCTAATAACAAACACAAGTCAACTGGCAACACTCTCTCACTACAGCACACACAGTCCCTCACCTGGTTCCTGGGCTGGGTCTGAAGAGCTCGCAACAGCTCCAGTTTGTTCATGTCTGTCTGCTCGTCTCTCACTTCAGCTCTGGCCTCCTCCAACAGACTGCAGCACCTCACGAATGCTCGGCCGGTCTTCAGGGAAGTCCAGACACCCCTCGATCATCTGGAGGAGAGGATGCTTCTCGCGTAGCTGCCTGTAGATCGTCCTCATGTACCCCTCTCGTCGCTCTAGCTCAGTTCTAGCTTTATGCTGTCGACCTTCGCGATAGGTGGGAGCTAGCAAGTCGCAGGGGAAGGTTTGGCAGAGTGTGAAAATGGCCACGACACCAAAAGAGAAGATGTCGATGCTTGCATCGTACTTTGACTTTTTGTCTTTATTTTCCTCCCCAGGTTTGCTTTCCATGGCCTCTGGAGGCATGTAAATTATGGCACCAGGTCCCTTTGTCATGGTGGCTGCAACTTGAACTCGCACACGAGGCACGATACGAGCCACGCCCATGTCCGCTATCTTGGCCACCATCCCCGAGCTCAGGAGAACGTTTCTGGCCGACAAGTCGCGGTGGATGATGGGCGGCGATCGCTCGTGGAGGTAGGTCAGGCCGCTCGCCACGTTGTGCAGGATCGAGCACTTTAGGCTCAGCGGGAAAGAAGGGCTTGGGCGCGTCGGGCGGGAGAGGGATGTCGGTTTCTGGGTCCAGCAAGTCGTGAAGGCTCGTCAGCAGTCGCTCCATGACGAGGGCCGGCAGTCGCGAGCCGGGCAGGAAACGTAAGCCAAGAAACTGGACGATGTTCGGGTGGCGGAGGGTGCTCATAATCTTGCATTCCCTCACGAACTGGGCCGTAGCCTCACTGATTTCTCTCTCCGAAACTTTCGCCGGATTCAAGTAGATATCGTGGATCTTTTTGGCGGCGCAGACGGCTCCAGGCATGGCCACCTCTTCCACGCTGCCGTAGGCTCCTGCGCCAAGCGTGGCACCAGTGGGCCGTACGTTTGTGAGCACGAACGGTTGCAGTTCTGGGTGTCTTCGAAGAAACATTTTGCCTGCTGACGTGCTATGAAGTGCAGCAGTGAAACGAGGCGCGCGTGATCCAGGGGGCGCGATTGCCGATTTTATGGGTAAAAATTACATGCACTCAGTGATGGATGAAGAACACCGTGCATGAAAAAATTTTATTTCTTGGTAGCTCTCCCTCCTTTCTTCCTTGTCACGAGAGCTGGTCTTATCTGTAGTCCAGTTACCATCGTCATCTGCATGCCATGGAATGATGATCAATCAGTAGTAATAGTCACGCTGTATATAGCTATGTGGTGTATGTACTTTAGGATTAGCAGGTCTTCTTCCAGCAGTATTGGTATTAGACGGTCTATTGTTGAGTCCTGTTAGCAGCCGGCGTGGTGATGATTCAGTGGCCACGGGATCCTCAGAGTCACGCAGATGGTGAGTGAACTTGCTGACTCCTTTGTTTTTTATTACAGCATCATCCTGTATTAAACAATTCAGCTAATCTAGACTGTAAATTATATTCTGTTGTCAAAATTCACGTATAAAGTGTCAGTGTGTTGCATTACATGAGCCACCAGCTGTCTCTGTGAAGGCGTGGTCACCCTGCACTTTCCCCAGCCACATCTCCTCAATTCTTCCCTGACATCACCACCACCACCACCACCATGACCAGTGGAGTGTTGCACGTAGTGGGGTCTGTGCAGTGGTGTATCCATGTCTGCTGCTACTGCCATTCTTTCCTGCAACCAAAACGAATGCAACCTCTTCAATACAAAATGGGTTTTGATCTAGTTGTAAAACTTCAGTAATAAGACACTTATTTATTAAAAAGGAAATGTGGGTATAAGAGCTACACTTATAATGTCACTAAAAATAGGGCCCACTGCAAAAATGTGATTAGGTTTCTGTTTAAATAACAGTTTCTAGGCCTTATTATACTGCGTTTTAACTGCTTGACACTAGCAGTGTGTTGTTTGGGGAGAGTTTAGAGGTGACCTGCTGTCTATGAATCTGTTGGAGAAGGAGGTCAAGTCTGGGACGGTCTTCTCTCTGAACTGGTGGAGTTCCTCTGCCAACTGTCCCTCTCTCACTCTCATAGCGTGACCAGCTCACTCCTGACAGCACACTCTTTGAGGACATAATTACAGTTTCCTTTAGAGTCAGTGCTATACAATCTTACACAACAAAACAGTTCCCTTATGTTAAGAGTATACTGGCACACCCACTTGCAGAAAGTTGTACTATTAGTGCAGCATAATGCATGGTGTGTATAATACCTCATCCGAGCGTGTATCAATAATGTGGTGCTCTGTTTCTTTGGAAATGTGTGTAGTTCTTTTGTGAGTCTTTCTCAACATTCGTTGACTGGGAAGGTTGGCATATCTGTCTGGCTCCCTCTCCTGGCAGGAGACAGCAGTAGACAGTTAACATGCAGTAAACTGTTAATCTATAGAGCACAGAGGGACCTCTACAGAGATCAACAATTTCAGATCGTGTGTAAACCAGTGTTAACACTAACCAGCCACGGACACATAAAAGTGTCCGGAGGCTCCCATAAATCCATATTGGGGTTATAATACTAGGCACTAATACTTTATACATCAATTTATACTTATATAAGCAGATCCCCATGGTGTCAAAAGGGTTAAGGTTCATTATGTGAGTCTATACCTCAATGTTGTCAGGCGTAGCTAGGACCCAGTCAACAGTTCTGTCCACTGCATCAACTCTCGGGAGAGAGCGAAGGAATCTCTCAAACGAAGTCTGACTCCCTTTAGCTCTGTACTGCACTGCTGTAGTGGTCACCTCTCTAGTGGCTCCACCCTCTCCCCAGCCTACCTCCCTCCTCTCGGGGACACACAGGACCTATGATTATAAAAACAAAGACATGAAGAGTGCATTATATTATTATCATCCTCAGATTGGCATGTATTATGGTGTGTATCACAGCAGGGTATATAAAGAGACTAGTTTTATATGCATGCATAACCGTGGGAGTACTAGCATAAACACGGAAGCTTCGCTAGGGAACACACTTGTCCGTGGGCAGGATACGACACACCAACACCACTATACATATTATATGCTGTGGCTAGACCATACCTTGGCATCTCCGGTTCTTTTAGTAACTTCGCCACGCATTCGCCGCCATCCCTCTCTAATACCGCCCATGTAGGAGGCAAGAGAGAGGAGAAAGGCCGACTTGTCCTGTTGCTTGTTGTTGGTCATCTCCTGGTGCTGGCGAATTCTGTTGTGTGCGTTGTTGCAGAAAACTGAGGCGGGGCTGGTATCACCGCACGCGCTAATTGAGCACTAATTAGTTTCTCGCGCGTGCAGTATCGTGGCGCCAAGAAAGAATGCAAGGGTGGGGCTAGCTACTGTTGTGTTGCTCCGCGGCTTTTCGAAAGTTCTCCGCTGTCTCAGTGAAAAATGAAGCTAGAACGGCTCGTTGTCTATATTGCATTAGCTGTAGCCCTCCTGCATACTGGTAAGTGCTGTTAGTGTTTGTGCACAATGTGTGAGAGAGATAGCTAGCTATCGGGTATTCTTTTCTGTAGGTGTGGCTGTTCAGACAGTAATCGGCTTCGGGCGACTTACGGACACTGCGTTTGAAGGCAACAACGCTGGGCTCACAATTAGAATCCAGCCAGAAGAACTCACGGTTAACGTATCAGGGCGATTGGTGCCGTTGACTTACGCTGAGTATGAAGACTACAACGTTCAAGAGTTCTATCAGTTGCTGTTATGGAGGCTCTGGAAATCGCTAGCACTAGAGACCCAGCAGAAAGTAAGAGGAGATAACTAGCTAGAAGTAGTATAGGACGGATGCAGTTGCTTAAAAATGTGTCCATTATGCACTGTTTGCCAGGTAATGACTTCAACAATGCAATAGTGAGCTTCACTATAGCCAGTGGGACATTAGAGACTGCTATTAATGTGGGGGACATCATACGCAATGATACTGTGAATGAAGCAGAAGAAATCTTTATAATTGTCCTGGAAGTGACAAATGGTGGTGGAGTAGATATTGCATTTGACGAAGAAGCCGTATTTTGGTGTATGAAATCCAGGATAACAACCGTAAGCAAACTCTAATCTCATTTCAACTTTTAGTGGATTATTGAATGCTGATTTCTCACAGCTATTAACCTTATACTAAGAAATAGCAGCAGCACCAGTTTCCCGGAGAGCTATGGAACAATAGAAAATATTCTAACGGTTGAGAAAGAGAGTGGGTCCCCAGAAACTGAGGTTGATATACCAATTAATGTGACCATTACAGGGAGTGGAACGGTTATTGAAGGTAATGCGCCTTTCCCTATGAAAAATGTCTTTTGTACTATTGCGTCACATCACAGGTGAAGATTTTTCTTCTGCCAGCTACAATAGATCCTATGTGATTGGAATCAATGACACGATGGTTTTTATTGATCCGATTAAAATTCTCGACGACGGCGTTCCCGAAACGATTGAGTCGTTTTCTGTATCTCTTGAAAAAGGAGTTGAAGCTGAGTTTCTCAATATCTTCCCCACCACAACACCGATGGAAATCACAATTGAAGATGACGATGGTAAGACGTTTAATGTGTGACAATACATAAGCTCCTCTGATGAGTAGTAAGCAGTGTGTTTTGCTGTTTTTATAGTGTCCATGTGTAGGTACTCTGTACTCTTTATAGGCTGTGAAAATGGGAAGGGGAGGGCGGGGAGGGATGGTGCACCAATCCTCCCTTTAGTATGGCATGTGTAATCAACATCAATAACCAAAGCAAAGGCAAACAACGCACTACACCCAGGACAACTCTTTTTCCCAGAGGGATACACGACACTCTGTACTCTAGGTGGTGACTTAATCTGTGTCCTATCCTCCCCCATACTGAAAACACCTTCCTGCGATTATATATGATTTGTTACACAGTGGCACAGGTGGTCTTCACTGAAGAGATATACACAGTCACCGAGGGAGAGGACGTGTATGTAGAGGTGTGCATTGCTCTTTATGACGATGTGTCACTGAACTCCAGCTCAGCCAATGGCGTCTTCGACATTTCTACCACTAATGTCACAGGTTTGTTGATATACACGTGTTACTTTTTCCCTTACAAAACACCATTTGTTGCCTCAAAATGAAGGGATAGTATTATAGTGTAATTGCTAAGGCACCCCCTGAGCTTTTTATTGACACCTTCTGTTTCATGCAAGTTGCCATCCTTATCTGCTTAAAAGGCTCTACAGCTGTACAATGTTCAACAGTAAGCTAGCTATAAGCATTGGTGTATATACTACACGATGCATCATATCTGTGACCATATAGTAATACAATACTATAGTCTCTGCTGTGGGTAGGACAAATGCGGCTCTTAGAGAATATTCACAAGCCTTTCCCTCACACAATGAATAGCCCACATCAGCATGCTCCAGTAAATGTTTATAGTTGGCAAACAGCAGTGTTGACTAAGGATTTCCACCCACTATGCAAGCTATAGTCACACCTCTGCATACCTGTCATGCTCCATCGACTTGTTATAAGCCACTAAGTGCACAGCAGTATTAGGTGCATATACTACAGGCACATGTTCATAACTAGATGTTTACATGTACAGTATGGGAATAGACTGGTTGTAGATTTAGCAGTGCAGACTACACAAATTGTAAAATTCCGAACCCTTTTACTGTGCATGCCACATACCTGCTACATGTGTATCACCTTACACACATCTTGATCAGTTTATTTGTGGTTACTGGTATATTATAGTATACCTAACCCCTAATAATGTACAGCTACTATGGAGGACTATAATCCAACACCTGATCCTGTCACTCTGGTGCTAATGAGAGGACAAGACATTGTTTGCTCCAACATCACCATCACCGATGATCTGCACGTGGAAGAGGACGAACTGTTCAATGTGACTGTTACGGAAGGACCTCATACATTTGGTGCTGGAGTCAGCATCCTCCGTGGCAGTGCTGTTGTTAGCATTGAGGACGATGATGGTAATGACAGAGTACTGTTTGTGGGTAGCTGATTGCAAGTATAAATATACCTTAACTTGAAAGTTCTGAGGCTAGGTTCACAATACGTTGCGTTTCCATTTCATGTCATGCTACGTTGTTTCATGTCACAAAGAATTTGTATAATTATATCCTTCCGAATCAGCAACAGAGCACTGCACGATGGGGCAATGCAAGATACTATTCTACTCTATTTCAACTAACAGTTGCAGTGGTTGGTTTCAACCAGACACAGTACACAGGGATGGAAGGAGAGACCCTGACTGTCTGCATGGATATTCTCTTCCCCAATGCTACTGTTCTCGCCATGAGTGATGTACAGGGCACCTTCAACATCACAGGAAGTGACGGTCTGTTACATTTTGTGTTTTTTTATTATGTGTCATTCTCCCTTTCTCTTTATCAGAACCTGATATCGATATAATTAGCGGGGACACACTCTTTGTGCTAAATTCAACTTCTTCTCGATATTGTGTGTATATATCTCTGGTGTCTGATGGTGACATAGAAGGAAACGAGAATTTACTTCTCTCGTTGGAGGAAATAGTCACTCTTGACTCCTTTGGTGTTAGACTTCTTCACCCTAATACAACCAACATCACGATAATTGATAGAGATTGTGAGTGTTTTGTTTTAATAGAGTTTGTATATACTTCTAGAACTGGGAAACTTGGGCTTTTCAATGGATGTGGGCCTGTAAAGTCAGAACTTGCAACGTTTTAGGGGGGAAAGTTAATAGTTGTATGCATTAATGGGCTTGCATAAAAAACCCAAAACCAGTTTTGTGGTCCAATTCTACTTCATACACATCGTAATAATATTACGCGGTGCATTGATATACATGTGTAGCAAGCTCAGCGAAATTTGAGTCTGTCTGTGTGGTCTCGTAAATAATACGATTATTTATTCATGGATTGCTATACGCAGAGGTATTATGGTATGACAGATGCACAGTGCCCGTTCTGTCTTAGATCGAAACACCTCCACTAATGTGGGCACAAATTTTGCGGAGGTATAATTATATGAAATCCGTGAAAAGTAATGAGAAGTATTTTGTCCGATCCTTTGCAGTTGGCTTGATTGGATTCAGTAAAACATCGTACACTGTGATGGAAGGGAAAAGTGAAACTGTATGTGTCGGGCTGAATAATGAAAATAATATAGCTCCAGATGTTTCTATCACTTATACTTTGAAAATAATTATGAGCGATGCCGCACAAGGTTAGTGTAATATTTTTTTCTATTTTTACAAGTGTAATCATTATTTTTCTACTTATTATAGATGTACTGTTTAGCACACTAAGTGGAGAATTTTTCCAAGGGACTTTTTTAAGCTGCCATAATGTCACAGTTGTTGATAATAACTTTGCCGAACGAGATGGAACGATTTCACTTGGAATTCAAAATGCAACACTCTCTAATGTGAATGTGTCAACTACTAATGTAGCTGTTGAAGACAATGATGGTAAGTTAATATAGTTAGACTTAATATAAGTTAGTTACTCCGTTCGAGGGAACTACGGGATTTCAACCGTGGACCAATCAGATTGCTCGATTTAAACCAGCTATGCACTAATTACTATTATAACCCTGCACTATGTTGTATAGAAATTGTGGTGAGTATGACGATTCCAGTGAATCGAATTGACGAAGGCGCAGGAGTTAACATCACAGTTTCCTATGATAATAGTGCAGTATCAATTGGACAGGGAATATCAGTGACGGGAAGTGTGTCTAAAAATGAACGTAAGTTTAATTTTGTATCCTCAACTAAATTTGAAAACTGGGAGCTTCTTGAACTAATAGTGCATTGGTAAAGGCCTAGAAGGGACTGATAATTGTTATGTTTCTTATCGTACAGTGACGGATGACTATGTCTTGGATCCAGGAAGTTTTTCACTCAGTTCTGACACTAACAGTGCTATGATTAGTGTTGAGGCAGTGGACGACATACTGTTTGAAGATTTGATGGAGACATTTAGCATTTCACTGTCTATAGATGATCCTCCAGTTAATGTTAGGATCCTTCAATCGCAACTGGTGATTGAAATCGAAGATGATGAAGGTTTGTTTATCAACTCTATAAGAATGTCAGTTGAAGCACTAATCTGTTGTTTTTAACGTGCAGTGGTTGAAATAGCGTTTCAACAAGGTCGACAGAATTTCAGTGAAGATGCTGGTATTGGTCATCCTCTTCTTATTGAGATAGTCAATTCTGATAGAGTCAGGATACCTCTTCCAATCGGGAACTCTGTGTCTGTATGTGCTGTTCTTGTGGCTGAAAGTACAAATGCTACAGAAGGTGTGTGACACACAGACGTATAGTATGAGTCGTCCCTACTCAGATAAGAATGCCCACTGTATATACTCTTGCCCTAAATGCCCTAACACATACTACTGTACTCTTGCTGCCTTAACTCCTACGCCTTATAATCTACCCTATTTCACTCTTAATCCAAGAATGTTAGGTATTCCTTTACTTGCACAGGGTTCCTGTATTATAGCTGTCTTTAGTACAGTTTCTGTGTGTAACTTGTGCAGGTATGGACTTTGCAGTTCAACTAAACATGGTGGCATTTAGGAACTCAACAACCCAGCCACCACAGTCTGTAGTGCTAAATATTTTGCAAGACACGTTGGTCGAAGGGCACGAAGTTATTAATATTACCTTGACAGACCTAATGATATATTCGATAGACCATCCAGGTGGAGCAATATTTGGGGAAAATAAAACAGTTTTGGTGACCATCCTTGATAATGATCGTGAGTAACAATTTCTAGTTCATGCACTTAGCACCTTTTACCACCGACTTTGCTATATTTTGCTAAGATTTTACTGATAGTGAATTATTTTGCCCACCTCTTAAGTATTAAAAACTCGTTTCCATGAAAGGCATGGGTAATGCCTCGAAAATGTGGCACTGTAACAGTAGGTTGTTTGGCCTAATGGCAAAATGTAACACTCTTCATAATTATTATTTATGTATTTTCAGAATACATCGTTGGATTCAATAGAACTGCATACATGGGCACCGAAGGAGGTCATGTTGAAGTTTGTATTGACACCATGGCTGGTACGCTACAATCCGGTGTTACTCTTGCTTACCTTGTCGGAGCTCCAAGAGAGGATGCCACTCAACCAGCAGGGTCAATGGCGGACACTGCAATGGGTATGAGCTGCTACATTTCATGCTGCCTTTTGTGTATACCTGTGAGTGAAGCCCTGGGCTAAAAATAAAATGACACAATACAGCATGTTATTAAACAGTCGGTTTTTCAAGTGCGTGCATGCAATAGTGCAATAATACAGATGCAAATTTATTACCTCATGTGTCTTATACACTACAAAATTTGAAGTGGGCATCACTGATCACATCTCCCATACTTGGCATGTAGCTAATTATGTCTTTACTCTTTAGTGTACAACACCACAAGTGGAGAGGGAGACTTTGCTATGACTACTCTGAGGATCAACTTGAATAGCCAAAATACCGACGGGTGTGTCATGGTTCAACTGATAGAGGATGAAATTGTTGAGATCAACGAAACATTTTATGTCCAATTGGAACAAGTGGTCAGCTCGGATGATCTTAGGTTTCCTCTCAGTCCGGAATATGCTGTAATCACAATAATAGATGACGATGGTAAGATGAGAAAATTGTAAAGCTTAGAGAGGGTAGGGGAAGGTGAAAGGAAATTTGGGGAGGGAGAATAAACAAAGCTGTATATAGCTGCAATAGTCTTTGGGGTGAGAGGGTCTAAGTAGGCATCTAAGTAAGACAAGATGACAAAAAATAACAGCAAGAAATGACGTTGACCTCTTCCGCCAACATACAGAAATAAAACTGGGATTCACAGCAGAGGAGTATATTTTCAATGAAAATACCACCTTCAACATTACTGTTCAGAGGGAGAATCCAGTGACTGTCAGCAGTACCTTCAGTGTGATTGTGCGTCGGCTACCAGAATCCAATGCAACTGACGGTTTGTAGACCTCATACAATCATTTTGATGGCCTGTGTTAAGTACTTAACACTTTATTCACATGCATTTGTAGATGATTTCTCAGTGATGGGTGGATTTAACGTGACCCTGGCGTTTGGTGGCAACGATGAACGTCAATCATTCCAACTGACTCTACTACCAGACGACATAGGAGAGGGACCTGAGACTATTGAGCTGCAGATTGTGGTCCCAGCTGGAGAACTGGGGGGTGTGGTACCTGGAACTATCAACAGAACGACCATTGTGATTGTCGATGATGATTGTAAGACAATTCATGTTCTAGCTATTCTTCTATACTTTCCTCCTTTACTACTACATGAAATAATTTTTGTTGACGATAAATACCTTGATTTGTGATGTCGGATGTCGATAATGATTGTAAGGTTCTAGCTACTCTTCTTCCTCCTTTTATACATGTCGATGACTAAAATGTTTTTATCCTTGATCTCCTAAAAAACACACAAGCATTGAAACTGCACTTGTTTCATCAACAGATATCGAGTACCAGTTTACTGAGACAGACTACATTATTACTGAAGACACGACAGTACCAGTGTGTGTGATGATTATATCAGGAGATGTAATATTCACTCCTGGTGGATTTCTGACACTTAGGTTCTTAACGTCTCCCATCACGGCTACCTGTCAGTTCAATCATTATAAATAACAGGGGCAGTAATAATGATTGCTCTGCTGCGTTTTCCCCACAGATAATGTTGATTACAACGACACTACTGACCCTATGATGATAACTCTAACTGACAATTTAAGAATGGATTGTGTGAACATTACCATTTTCGCTGACGAATTGGTCGAAGGGATGGAATATTTCCAGCTTTACTTTGAGACTGTTGATCAACTTGGCTCTTACTCCGTGATCGACAACAGCTCACGAGAGATCACGATTTTTGATACCAATGGTTAGAGAGAGCCGTCGCGAGGTTTAATGTCTTACCTCTCCCCCTTTCCTCTCTCCCTCATAGTTGCTGATGTTGGTTTCAATTTCAGTGTGTACTCAATAGAAGAGAGTGACGCAATTGTTTATTTCTGTGTGGTGGTGCTTGATGGACAATTGACTGAAGCTGTCTCCCTCACGTATAATTTATCTTCTCGGCCAGATTCAGCTACAGGTTAGCCTTGCTATCATGCAACCAGACGAACAAATCTTTAGAATCACGGTAGAAAAATACACAGAGCGGGATGGAAAGAAGAAAGAACCAACTTCAGTCAATATAGTGTCCAGTGCCCTAAGCATTTGAGCCACAACTCCCAGACCAAAGCCGGCCTTTTTGAGTTTTCCTTTATTTAAAAATCCTCACACTCTTAATGAATACCCGGCCAGCTCATTTCTTCTATCCATGCTTACTTTTTGCTAGTGGCTGGATTTAGTTACTTTTGTGGCAATTTTAGTGATGCAAAAATGTCCAACTGGTTCTCTGTAATCCTCTACAGCTGATGCTGACTATATTCCTGTCGTCATTCCTGATCAGGGAGAGCTAAACCACACACACCTGCACGCATGTCACATGATGAACATACTGGACGACGAGTTGGTTGAGCCTCCAGAGAGTATTGTCGTCAGCATCACCCCCACTGGACCTACACAGGAGTTTATCAACCTCTTTGACATTGTTCGGGAAGAGACAGTCGTTCAAATCATAGACGATGACAGTGAGATCTCACTAAATCTCTAACTCTTGTATAGTATTAATGTTGGCACAAGTTCCCAGGCTTTCCCAACTAGCTACCAGTAGAGTTTAACATGAAAACCTGGAAACAGGGCTATTGTAATTTTCATACAGCATTAATTATAGATACAATCCAGACTTTGTAGACTTTATGCATCAACTATTTAGTGCATTTTAGCAAACCTTTTTAGATTTTTGTCCTTTTTTTCAGCCGTGACCATTGGGTTTGAGCGGAGTATGTATATAGTCGAGGAAGATGCAGGGAGTGTTGATGTCTGCCTCAGGTTCCGTGGTCCACTGAAGAATGATTCCTTTGTGGAACTGAATATCACTATTAACTCCAATATATCTGGTGGTGAGGCTCTACCTAACTCAATCCCCAGGCCTTTTGAGGTCTTAAAGTTATTTTAAAAGAGTGCTTGATTTCTGTTTGTGCTCCATATTATGTGCAAAGTATTATTATACCAACCTACCCTGGTGTTGTGCATTAGATCATGCTGCGGTCCCGGTACCAGGCACCCTGAGACTTGACATGAACGACACGCTGGAATGTGTCACAATCAATATCACAGACGACATCATAGTTGAGGGGACAGAGGTGTTTACAGTTCATTTTGACGAGACGGACGGAAACATGATCATGATTGCTGGAGACAACACTGTGCCTGTGTTTATTGAAGATGATGAAGGTATATACATAATGGTACAGTAAACTAAGTTTAGACAGAACAATAATGTTAAGGCAGGTTCACAGCATTAGGTATCGGTGGCCTACCTAAACATTTTGTACTTTTTGCAAGTGCATACAGGGGAAGGGGAAGCAAACCAACCATCCTGAATACCTTGACTATAGCTGGAGTGTGCTGTGCAAATAATGCTCAGGAGTGACTATGGAAAATAGGGTGGCCTAAATTGTTCGTACTTTTAGCAAGCAAGTGGGGGGAAGGACAGGCCAACCAACCATCCTGAATACCTCGGCTATAGCTGGAGTGTGCAGTGCAAATAATCCCAAGGAGTGACTGGAAAATAGGGTGGCCTAAAATTTTGTGCATTAGCAAACAAGTGTGCAATAGTCCTATGATCATTCACAACCTGATGATTTCTTAGCTTGCTTAGTAGAAACACAGAATTACACAGTATATATGCTAGATCTTGTGTTTTCTGTCTGTTGTTGTAGAGGTAATTCTACAGTTTGTGCAACAAAGTTACACCTTCGCCGAAAGTTCCAACACAAGTGATGCTGTGATTGGAGTTACGATAGTCAACTACAACGAAGTGGTTATAATGAATGATATTAGCTTCAGGGTCACCAACACCAGTGGCAATGCAACTTATCTAGAAGGTAAGTAAGTAAAATTGTGAAATTAGCAGTATTGGTAAAATTTTACTGTTTCTCTCTCGTAGACTTTGCTTTTGTCCATGGAAACGGAGAAATCTCAATTCCTGTTGGTCAAAACTCAACGACATTTATGCTGATCATAACAGATGATGTGATAGTAGAAGGAATTGAAGACTCTGTGCTAGTCATCTCCAGTCCAGATATTGGGAGTATAGCACCTGACAATGTCGTGCATATGTATTCAACAACAGTTTTCATTGTGGACAATGATGGTAAGCGATCATCTGCCTAATGGCTTTAATTCTACCATTATACGAGTATGTACGATATGTGTTTTTAGTTTATGAGTGTGAAGTTCAAGCATAGATTATGTTTTCTCCAATAAAGTACTACTGTACTTAGTGATAGCGATAGGGGCAAAGTATAACTCTTTATGGTTTGTTCATTTTGCAGATGCAACGATAGGGTTTGCCTCTACCACTTACACCTATGCTGAGGGAGTTCGCCCTGTTTGTGTGACTCTAATGAATGGAACCCTTCAATACAACGTCGTTATCAGATACTCGGTCTTCAACCTTTCTACAGGTGCAAAAAACATAGTGTAATAATAAACTGGCCTATGTTAAAGATAAATCTGACAGTCCTGTAACTAAATGGTATTCAGCGTAATAGCTGTAAAATTATGTAGATTCACTCACTTCCTGTATAAATTTACATATTCTATTGATAGATGGGAACTATGATGACTATGAGCCAGTAAATGAAGTTGGAGAAATTACTAGTCAGACTCAAACATTCTGCCATAATATCACCATCATTGATGACAATCTGGTCGAGTCACTGGAGGACGTCGATGTCATGATTGTGGAGGAATTCAATGTGGCATCTGTTTTTCTCTCTCCTGATATTTCTACCATCACCATTGACGACGATGATAGTGAGTATAAGAACAAACAAAAGACAAAACTTTCAAATTTCTGTTTAATTACAAACCCAAAATTCACCAATTGCTGATCCCAACATTTTTGAAATATTATATCCATCAAGTTATGGTATCACAGAGAGTCATGGCGTTTACTCCACACACAGGTGTCCTGGTAGGGTTCGGATCTGAAATGTACTCCAGTATTGAAACTGGAGGGGCTCTGGTTGAAGTGACTATCGTACGAGAAGACGACCTCATTTCTGTTCACGACTTTACCGTGAGACTTCTACTCAGTCCTGACTCCAATGCTACAGGTCAGCTACACACCTTTTGAGCTACACACCTTTTGTATTCTTCTATGATCGTGCATGGAATATCAGTACAATGAAATGTCTGTTAAGATTGAGCATGAAATATCAGTACCAATGTACCATTATTGAAATGTCTGCATGGTGTAAATTGCAAAATTAACTTGCACTATTTGTTCTATCATACAGTGGGTAATGACTTTAGAATTGACGGAGGCAGTTCACAATTAACGATAGATTTTGAAAAGACGCAGAGTTCTACAAATGTATCGGTCACTATTCTAGGAGATGACATAGGAGAAGGAGATGAGTTGATCATTTTGAACTTAGAAACTGATGGACCCAACAATATAAATGTTGGCAGTATAAATGACACAACTGTAATCACCATCGATGAAGACGACTGTGAGTTCCGTTTGTAAAAAAATGGAAACACCAGCATTGCATATCACCTGAGAGATACTAGCTATCAGCTTATAATATAGGCAACAACAAAAATTAATACTGACATCTTCTGTCAGGAGTCAAACACTGGGATATATACTGAGCTACAACTCCCAGACTAAAGCTGGTCTTTCCCATTCCCTCCCCACTCTCTTTTATCTCGCTTTTCTAACAATTCACCCCACACCCAAGGCCATGAAAATCTCTCAAAAAATTTTTTGGGGAAGTGTGCTACATTATTCGGGGATTGTGCATTTGAAGACGAAATTAAGTTGATAGTCTTCCAGACGTAGAGCATACAAGGATTACGTCTAGTGCTTACTTTGATAGAGTTCTCCTCCATTCTTTCTTGTCACAGTTATTGAGGTAGCGTTCACAGAGGACACATACACAGTCAGTGAGGGAGAGGCACGGGAAGTGTGTGTGATGATTATGGGGGGCAATGGGGTGATGCTGCCCTCTGGTGGAACTGTTGATGTTCTCGTGTCAACTTCCCCAACTGGTAAGAAATCAAGCCAACATTCATCATTAATTTCAAAAGTGTGCACATTAGGGTTCTCTAAGACTAATAGAAAGCCTTTATGTTTTTAGCTGTGTGGGTTGCTTATTTTGCTCTATTCACTTGTCCTTTGCTAATGTAAGCTTTCATCCTTCAGTATTAATTGGTTGCCTTTGCGCTATAACCATTCCTCAAGGTAGACTGTTGCATACTCTTTTTCTACGACACTTCTTCAGCTGGTGTTGAACCTGAAACTGACTATCAACCAGCACTAAATCCAGTCAGAGGAATACTCAATGGGACCAGGAACATAACTTGTTTCACATTCACTTCATTGGAGGACATCTTGGTGGAAGGAACTGAAGACGTTTCTGTCAGCTTTTCTTTCATGAACAAGATTGGATCCTTTGTACCACAGGGGAACGCAATTGTAGCCATTGCTGACAATGACTGTAAGTTGATTCAAACTTAGTCTAATGCAGCTGAAGGTGTTGGTCTTTAATGAGTTTCGCAATTCTTTCCACATAGCCATTGCAGTAGGCCGTATTTCGCATGATTTGCAACTTGGTATTCTGTTGTTTGTCACCATTTTCACATATTCAACTCATTATGGTGAAAGCTTCTATCTTCATTTGTTCACCGCACAGATTTCGAGGTTGATTTTGAGTATGCCTCCTATACCGTTGGTGAAGAGGGAGGGCGTATCAACGACACTGTGTACATTGTGAAGATGAGAGACAACACTCTTCTGCAGGAGTATACTCTCACAGTAGACGTCGTCCATAGTCAGGGACCCTACCCAGCTGTACTAGGTACATACATCCATCTAACAATAGGTCATATAAGATCAGTGTAAACTTTTTTCAGGCTCATGTGCAAGAAGATGGCGTGCGGTGTGATACTTTTCGCATAGGTGCCCCCTTTTCCCAAACATTTCCTATGCTATATACTGCTTATGGTTTAAAGACCTGTGCTAGTAGTAGACCTAAGAGTAGGCTCTCAATACAGTCTATCAATAGGCCAACTAACAAAGATGTGCTGGACTACCGTGTTAGATATGTTGGGAAAAACATTTGGTAGCTCACAGATATGAGCACCTAAGAATTGGTACATAGGTGTTGCTATGAATAAACTCTAAGAGTCAAATGCTACAAAACATTCACATGCAGGTAGGGACTTCGAGGTCGATTTGCCACCACTGACGGTGACGTTTGAAGTAAACGACATCAGGAAACCAGTACCGTTCACTCTACTGGATGATGAGTTTGAGGAAGGATTTGAGAACTTCACGTTACAGCTGTCAGACGCTAGCAGTGATGAAACTGTGCTAATAGTGAAGGGCTCAGCTATGGTCCACATCAAGGACGATGATGGTGAGAACGTGTAGGCTATATATAGGGTTCACTAGAGTAATATACTAGGAGAGTCTAAGTTGCTGGCCATTTAACTATACACTACTCATCTTTTTTCAAGTTAGGAAGTTTAGTTATGTACATGAGCTCTTTGTCGATGCTAAAAGGACCCCGACACCTATCTTTCACGTTACGATGACATTTTTCTCTCTTTACCATACAGTGGTGGTGATAGGATTTGAAAGAAGTGTCTACGTAGTGTTTGAAGGCCAGAAGACAGAGATCTGTGTGTCTATTCTCAACAGGGAGCTCTCCACCGATGATCACAGGAATTTCACAATAATGACCACCCAACTCAATCAAGACCCTGCAGAAAGTTAGCCTTCTTCAAGGGCGTAGGCGTTGTGGGGGGCTTGGGGGGCTGAAGCACCGCAATAAAGCTCAAGTCCCCCACGTTTTGATTTGTGTCTACACCCATGTTCTTTAGTTATGATAAATAGAGTCATTTTTGTAGCTTTTAGGGTGGTAGGGTGGCTTTCATAATTTCTGTGCTTCTGAAGTTTCACACAAGAACATGTCAGTTCCTGTTGCGAACCAAAAAGTGTTCTTTCAAAGTGTTTTAGTAACTAACTACTACCTTAGTAGAGGCTGGGGGGCATAAGACAAGGGCCTTTTGATACTCTAAGAACTTTTGGCAAGTTACATTTTTACAAGATGGGCTGGTTACTTCAGCAAAATTGGCTGACTCCAGCTTGCCTAAATGTGTTGTACGGGGGGGGGTACACAGCTCACCAATCTAAACGTGTCCATGTTGTTCTGCTGGTGTACTGTATCTTCAGGTAATAAGGACTTCATGGTAATACTGGGACAGACTACATTCATTGCTCGCGATCCCAATGTCACGCGACGTTGTTTCGACCTGGAGACTGTGGACGACGCTCTACTCGAGCCTCCTGAGAGACTCAACATGTCTGGGTCACCCATCAGTCATTTCATAGAGTTTAACCCCTCCTCCACCACCATCTGGATTGTCGATGACGACAGTGAGTGTTTGAATCAGTGTGCAGCCCTTACAAATGTTGCTACGTTTGTCCGTCTGCGGATTATGTATTGAGAGAGAGAGAGAGAAAAAGAGGCAAGTGCAAATAGAAGTGTAAAGTAGGCATCCCTAAAAGAGCTGTCCTGGTTTGGACTTGATCTCACAACACTCTGCTTGCTAGGTAGAGCTCTCTTCCTTCAGGATAGCTAGCTCATTATGTACAGATGATTTAGGCAAAACTTTACAAACCCCTTCTCTCTCTATAGGTCTACTTCTGCCAGTACCAGATGTCTCAACTCTGGACTGCGTGTCGCAGACTGAGCAGCAGACGACACTGAGGGTCACGTGTACTCCGTCAGACGATGCTGCGAGAGTTGCAGAGTTGGTCTGCTCTGTGGACGGAGAACCACTCAAACCTTGCTCTACGCTCAGCAACAGGAGAAAGAAGAGAGGTTAAAAAAGATGGGGGGAGGTTAACACAAACTGTGCTCCTTAATGAATTCACTGTATTGCTATTCTCACCTCAACCATGCTTAAAGAGAGCGTACTTTAAGTTAGGTGCTTCTTCCTTTACCTTGGGGTCAAACTACTGTATGCTGAGTTGACTACCCTGGGGTCAAACTATGTATGCTGATCAAGTTGACTAAAATCCTAACACAGCTGTATAGTGGAAGCGTTCTACTTAACCAACGTTTATCCGCACAGCTGCCGAGCCTCAAGTTGTGACACTGGACCTGCTGGACTATCAGGATGGGGTCCATGTCCTGGAGATTGTGGGGCTGACTCAGGTCACTGAGATATTGAGAGGAACCGTGCAGTTCCATGGACTTGGTCAGTCAGTCCCCCTCGGTTCTCTCTTTTACTCTCCTTATTTCCTCCTTTCCCATTTCTTATCTCCTTTACTACCATTTTTTCTTCTACAATAGCGTTCCTCTCACTCTTTAACCTCTGGTTTTCCTTTTAGTGGGGTGAAAATTTCATAATCTCTTTCACTACTTATAATTTATTATCTATGCTGATTCTCAACTCTCTCTCTTCAACTAAGACAGAGTCTTTAAACCTTTAGTTTGGGTAACTCAACCTTTCTCTATAACATACTGTGTTTTCATGTTTTCCTCATACAGCCCGGCCGTTCAACCTGGACTGTGTGGATGAGATAACAGAGACGGGGCTCATTGATGTCACATGTTCCACTGAGAGGGTTTTGGAGAGTCTCACGTGCACAATTGATGGGGGAAACCCTGACGTTTGTAAGCTATAAACATACCGTCCCAATCAACATAATTATGGCAGGCATTACAGCTATTAGAGGAAAATAGGATAATAATGGTAATTTTTGTGGTTCGGCAAATGCAGTGCATTTGATTGAGAAGTTTAATATGGCAGCATATAGCCCCTTTCTGGAACCTCCCCACTTTTTCTGTCACCACACTTATATACAATGTCTATTAATGTGTCAAAGGCGCTCTGAAGTTTGTACTGGATCCTGATGATTACGAAGAAGGAACACACATGGTGGTTATAACGGCCATAAACCTTCTTGGAGAGATCAAGTACTACAATTTCACTTTCGGTGAGGGAAAAATTGCAGCTCCTTTTTTCTTTCACTAGCTTTTAGTCCCACAAAAATAATTGTACGCTGTAGTGTATGAATGGAAAGAAATTGCTTTTGGCAACCAAACTTGTTTTAAAACATCATTCTTGAATGTAACATAAAATTGTCCATATAATCTTAAAAGAGTTCTATGTTTACATGTATAGCTAATAACAGCTCATTTGTACTAAGATGGACTTGGTGGGGTTTACTTGTTTAATTCTCACCCATGTATAGTGTCAGCTAAGCCCCAGGCAGTGAGTATATGGGACGACAGAGAGTTTGTGGCAGCAATCGCCATAGCCGGAGTTGCCTTCATCATTCTCATGCTCCTCATGTTGGCCATCTGTCTACTCATCTTCTATCACCGGAAAGTCAACAAACTCAACAAATATGGGCTCGGTACGCCGCAGAAAGAATGAGAGTTATGCCTACAGTTGGAACCCTCTCTAGTAAAATGAGACATGAAATGCCACCTTGCTAATAGACCTGTTTCATTGGGGTCCTTTAGGCCTATTAGTGTGGTTCTAACGCATACATTCAAAGGTTTAACTATGAGTTGATGTGTACGTTTTTATTGACTCGGCTTATATATTTTTTACTTGCCTCATTTTCTCCAGACCTGCGATCAGAGAACGAGTACGTGGGGATAGATAGGAATCTGTCCTACCGAGACCACGATATGCCCGACGACGTGGAGCTTGTGGACTATTCCCATCGTCCTCCCGACATCCGAGCCCCGCAACGCGGCGCCGCTCGCCCGGCATCTCGTGCGTCGTCTTCGGCAGCCGCACGATCCATCTCCCGCGATCCTTCGCAACGCGAACGACCAGTCTCGGAAGCGTCCACCGTCGTTGTTGAAACTCCGACCGCAACGACGTTTCACGTCCCGCCGCCTCCCGGACCGACCCTCAAACCGACAGAAGCTCCAGTCGCTCCAGTTCGGGCTACAGTTACGGTCGTGCAACAACAGCACCGAGCGCCGGATCACGTGACAACCGATCAATACTCGCAGGAAGACGTTGGCGACGTTCAAACGGAGGAAGAACTTTTGCTGGCGGCCAGCGGCGGATTGGGAAGCGGGAGCGAGAGTCGCGGGCTGAAAATCAGTCGCCGACACAGCGTGGAGGTGGAGAAGAAACCCAAATCGCGGAAGAAGGTGGACGACGAGACGTCGCGTACGGCGAGCCTCAGCGGAAGCCGCGTGCACCGGACCGACAGCGGCGGCGGTGCGTATTCGATACCGCAGGGCAAAGAGCTACAGACAGCGAAGGAGTGGGAGGCGGCTCTACAGCGGGAATTCGACGAAGAGATGGCGAAGGAGAAAGAGAGCGTACGAGCACGTGAGCGTCGCCGAGAAATGGAGCAACGGGAACGACGAACGACGAGGGAGCAAGTTAACCGCGAGATGCGCGCGGAGGCGAGGAGGGAAAGGGAGCGAGAGAGGGACGCGGCGAAGGAGAGAAGGCTCGTTGAAGAGGCTCGGAGCCCAACCACACGCGGAGAGACCTCGCCCGAATCTCCAGGCCCAGAATCCTTTCTATGAACACTAGTATTCTACATATAACACTAGCAAAGACACTGGTCCATGCAAAAAAGTCTTTTTTATCCCTGATATCTATTGCATTTCAATACACAGTTTCACGCTACAATTTGTAACGCGCATGCGATACAGGCCGCGCGCGCGCAATGGCGAGCATTTGAACTTCGAACTCGAGCAATTATGGAGCTGAGGCAGAAAAGATTCGTGTGTAAGTTGAAGTTTCCTTAGCTCGTGCATTGCAGAGGTAAAGGGAGATATATAATCTCTGCACAGATGAGAAGGCGTTCAGTGTTGAAAGAATCATCCAAAACCTAAAGGTTCTGTAACCTGCTAATGTGATGATGATGATGATGATTATGAGGTATTCTACGTGTGTATGCTCTGGTTTCAGACGTATCAAGTAGCTACGGGAGAGGCCGAACTTTCTGTACTCTGCAAATCAAAGCATGTCTCTGGTTAGTCATGTGGTAGTTATGTTGCGGTAGGCCGATTGGGGCATTTGTAGAAACATCTGGGGCGGCGAATACGAAGAGCTCAGTTGCCACTGAAAGAAAGAGAAGGAGGAGGAGGAAATACAAAGGTATGTCCGTTTTTTCATGTCTAGTGTTCCTGTGGCATTTGGTAATTAACATTGTATAATGCTTATAAGAGTCAGCATGGTGGTGAAGGTTAATGAGTGGCTGATGTTGTATGAATAGAACGCAGACAGATAAAGAGAAGTAGAGAGGAAGAAGGCAGTGAAGTGAATGAGGGGAGCTTTGGTTCAACAGAGAGGGGTGCCTCTACCAGCCAAGGTGTGCTCAACATTCTCCCACCCCCTCATAAATAGCACATTGTATTATACACTGGCTAATTATTACATTGCTGTGTATAGTTAACTTAATTAATATCGACTGTTCAGGTCAGATATAGTCCACTATAGGCTAACCATTACCGCAGTAGCAACATTTCTATAAGGAAAATCCACATTCATTGTTATAGTGGGAACGAGCAGTTCCCTGGGTCTGCTGGCTGTCCAGTACTCCAGCAGTGAAGGAGAAGAAGTGAGTTCACCTCACAGCAAGATTGCCACCTCTGAGGCTCTGCCTGTCCCCGACGCTATTCTTGGTTGGTCTCCTCTAGTGTGTGCTACAGTAGTCCTTATAATTATAAATGTGAATATAGACAGAACATTTTTATCAACATGAGTTGCTTGTGTATCTTTGACACACATAATTCCACATTTTTTCTTTAAAACTATGTTTTCCACTATCAATTAATAGGTGTAGAGCAATGTGTAGGGTCTTCTACACATATTATATGAATGGAAGATTAATTATTATTATAGCACACTTATTGCTATTGCTTTCCACTATTTTATTATGTGTAGAGCAATGTGAGGGACATATATGTTATTATAGCACACTTATTTTTCCCAATGCAGGGATGTATGTTGGTGAGGAGGAGGGTGTGAGGGGTGAGGAGTGCGGGGAGGAGGGAGGAGGAGATGAAACACGTGCCTATTCTGAGCTGGGGTTCTTTGAGAGTCAAGAATCCCCCGGTGAAGGCGATGATGGGGTAAAGAGAAAGACCATAACCTCTGCAACATCTCTAGTCAAGGTATAATAATATACAGTGGGACCTCTACATCCTTGATATATATGACAACATCTTTGAAATAAAAGACAGCTTTTCCTTCCCCAAGAACGTTTCATTGATGAATATATACCTCACTCTGTTCTCAGGAGTCTCCAAAGAAAGAGAAATGGGACGAGGTGAAAGCAAAGTGGAAGTTTCCTGTTTCAAAACTACAAACCTATGTCTGGTGAGACTTACAGTCGCAAAATTTTAGTAATAGAGTGAGTGGAGTAACGTGGTATATGTGGTTTAGAAGCTCAAGAGGTCTAGTTAGAGCGTTTTTATTTCGCCAAGGGCTTATCTCATAATGAAAAAGTTTCAAAAAGTTGAAAGTTGTTTACTGTTAAGAAACTCCAATTATAAAGTAACACATGTGGTTGAGTGACCTGGACAAATACAAGTGTTGTGTGATAAGAGTTTATTCCCAATCTCTCTATGGTTAATGCAGTGCCAACTGTGGTAAAGTTGGACACTTCACCCAAGACTGTACCGTCGAAGCAGCCCAAAAGGTGACCAAACACAATTGATATTTTTAACATTAAGTTTTAGTAATATTTCAGGAACCTCTGAGAATTCCAACAGATTTGAAGGCACTCTATTCAAAGTAAGTGAAATTACCATTCACACTGAGTGTGTTTTTTATGGACAAGTGCTTTCCATTGATAAATTTTATCTTTCGAAACGCAAATCCAAAACCACGAGATACTGGTATTCCATTTTCTGTTTTAATACAATGAGACTGTGGTTTTGTGTCGGAACACACACGCAGGGCCCGCAAGCTGGCAAGTAGCAAGGACGTCCACTGTGCTGATTGTGGCATAACTACCAACCTGGTCTGCTGCTTACACTGCAGGTATTGCCATCATGACCAGTACTATTAATGTGCATTACTAAAGTGGAGCCTCTCTAATCTGAACACCAATGGGTCAGAAGAAAGATTGTATGAAAAAACTGTTCTTGGGTAAAGAGAAGTGTCCTTGTTTCAGGGGTTAAAACTGCATGCAAGAACTTGTTCGAAAGGGAGTCCCTTTAGCATTTTGAGAATGGCCACTCATACTTGCAAATTATGATGAGGCCAGAACCTCACGTGTAGAGCGATCGATGGTCTGGTGACACAGTCGGCAGTGGGCAGTTTTGACAGTGGATAAGTAGCTTCTAGTGCTTGTTGACACAGTCTCTGTCTCGCGTAAACCAACGTTGATATAAAGCTTGCAAGCTTCCATAGCTGTGAAAACTATTTCTCAGCCGTTATTATAAGATCACCAAAGGAAAAACATCAGATCTCCGAAAAAATTAGTGTTGTGTGCTAACAGCTCTTGTTTCATTCAATTTTGTTGTGTCGACCCACATTTTTACTAGCTTGTGGTAATAGCCCCATTCACACTGCAATAGCTGCGATGTGTGGTGTGTTGGTATGCATACAGATCTGTACACTGTGATGGCAGGGGTCACATAACTGCCCACCTTCTCTCTCATCCCACTCACAACTGCCTGTACTCCTCCAAACTCAAGAAAGTGGTATATATACACGTCTTTGCTATGAGTGACCTATAGTGCATCAGTCTGTTCACTGTAAAGTGGTTTATAGCTTTGAGTACAGCAAGTGGGTCTTTTTTCTTTTCTTTTTCTGCCTCCTTCATTTCCCTCAGAAAGTGGTATATAGATCTTTTGCTTGAGCACAGCAAGTGTGTCTGTTCTTTCTTTTTTCTGCCTCCATAATACACTGTTTCTCTCTCTCCCTCTCCAGATAAAATGTTCCAACTCAATGTGTCAAACAGTCAGTATCTATGACTTGTACATCTGCAGTCAGTGTCTTGGCAATGCTTTCTCCCAACACTACTCCATGGTCACTGCTTGCTGGTGAGACTTATAATAACACTGCTATAATAATGTGGTGATTTTAAAGAAACCACCCCATTTTTGGTAAACACGGTGATACAGGTCAAGTGCTGGGCTGCGGAAGATTCAAAATGCCATTGCTTGTGAGGACCACTTTCATTGGTGAGTTTTACCATAATCTATGGGTGGAGTACAAGGTTATAGTCCCCTCAGGGGAGCAGAGTATCGAGCCAATACAAACCAGCCATTTTGAGGGAATCACGACCTACTATAATTATGTTGACCTAAATTAAACCTCTGAAAAAGAATCCTCTACAAAATATAAGGGACACTTGCTTCTGCTTCTGCCCCATACTAGTGTACTATACCTCTAAAATTAATATGGGACACCTCTGATGAAAGGACACTGGATTTTCCCAAGGCGTCCCCTTATTAGTCAGGGTTTTTTACAGTATACAGCTGAAATCAGAAGATACTGACCATAAGCAACCAATTTCCCTTTGATGTCCCATCTGTCATAAACCTGAAAGTGAAAGCTATCAAAAGTCAACACCCACATTGCTCCATATTATGCTCTCAGGCACAGAGTCAACTGCCCCTCCAGTGCTGAAGAAAACTTTGTCACTAGAGATAAACTGCAGCAAGCCACACTCAGTGAATTCTATTTCTAACTCTAGCTCTCTTTTCATTATAATATAGAAGTTACACCGACACTATATAGCATTATGGTCTCGCATTGACTTTTTGATCACCAGCTATATATTTCCCCTTGATTGCTATTTGTATCCTTTAGCTATCCTTGCCAGCGCGTATAATTGCCTGTGCCAGCGCTTACGCGTTCACTGACTCCCATGCACAGGTGTGTTTTTGGATACACTATACAAAAATAAACTACGGCTACAAGACTACTACAGCTACGCTATATAGTATCTCAGAGATTCTGGTCTTTGGTGCATAACTAGGCCGAAAAATTAGTCGGCACATGGCAGCAGCAGTAGTTGGGACCGCAGGATGTTCGGTTGATATCAGCGTATCGGTAAACCTTCAGACCGAGGCGGGCGCTGGTTGCAGTTCCCGGGGTGGAGGACAGACGGCCGTTGTACACGTGCAGAGCAGCAGCGGCGAACCACCTCAAGCCTCGCGTCTGTTGATCCTGGTTCCTGAGTGTCTGACTGGTGCAGATTTGGGTGCACGATCGATACTCTGTTGCTGTGCTTGCAGAGTCGTTGCACAGCGTAAGTCCATCCGCGAGGACCGGCAATGGTCGAACACACCGCCTGGGCGATCAGCTCCGTGTCAGGGTGCACACTCGCGGCAACGGCTGCGGAATCCTCTGTTGCATCATTAGAGTAAAACTCCTGAATGGTTGGAGGCTCCTGTGAAAACACCAGTAAAATTGTTGTGGAGCAATTTACTCGGCCATTCTCACCCAGAACTGAACTAGCTAGCTACTCTGCATTTTTACTTATCTTTCATTCTTTTTCTTATTATCAAACCAGTATTGGGCTTATGTGATACCTGAATCCCTGGGAGTTTATATACATGACCTGACGCGTTGCACGCACACGTATGGATATCTCTTTGCAAGGCCACTAGCTATAGCTACACCCATGCACAGCTACGCCATTGAATCATGCTTATCTCTATGTGGATTGTTAGTTATTTCAAACCTGGTCCCTGTTCTCCACCAGAGAGTTGTCGAAAGGTGGAAATCCATTGTTCGCTGAAGTAGCCATAGAGCTGGGGTAACTCCAGGCCACTGTGATAGAGGCTAGAAGAAGAAGGAGAGCAGTCTTCATCATCATTCTTTCGATTCCTTCACTCCGTAGTTCAAGATGTGGCTATTGCTTGATGCTTCTACTGGTCCAGGGCGTCCCCTTTTATACACAGCCCCCCCAGTATCCGAGACAAACAATGTACATTAAGTGGGATTTTACTGCCTATGTACTAGTAGTGTTTACTACTGTGTCTGTGTAGTTCATGCATGCCTATATTATGCCTATAAGTAAAATATCAGGGGGTAAAGAGCTGGAACGAAAAATTCCTCAACAATTTTGAAAAATATCTCACCCACATTCATGTTAACCAGGGAGCTCTGCACAAACAAGCTCCAGATACTATATATCTGTTGTTGCAGAACACTGATAGGTACTACTGCAGGTATTTCATGCATATCTAGCCCCGTTCATACAGTGACATGGTCTCTGCTTTAAACTGAGTAACCGATATGCATATCTCACAGGGCAACTGCCTTCTCCCACTCACTTTCTGGGAGTGGGGGAGATAAATAGCTCTTACTTTGCCGGACTCCTGTAAACATGGCTCAAAAGTGAGGAATTTTGCATGAAACTGCAGCTTCCCTTGTTAGGGAGTGTAGCTACTGCACTCTTGCATGAAATGTGGCTAACGTGCGATACCAGTGAGATATTTTTCAAAATTTGTGTTAAATACCAGCTACTCTGGATAAAGCTGGACACAGAAGCACAAGAATAGTAGTCAGGCACACTCACAAGTGAAAAATAATTATGAAGAGGGTGAATAGATGTCCCATCATGCAAAGAAAAACTTTATTGTTTCATTATTAAGAAGGGTTTTTGCTTCCTCCACAAATCTATTTCTAGTGGGATACTGAGGGCAGGGTAGCGAGGTCCACCAAAACAGAGGCCAGAATGAGGTATAATTATAAGGATGTAGGGGATGTCATGTACAAGTTGACCCGTTTACAAGGTTATAGTCCCCTCAGGGGAGCAGAGTATCGAGCCAATACAAACCAGCCATTTTGAGGGAATCACGACCTACTACAGTGGAATAATTATGTTGACCTAAATGAAACCTCTGAAAAAGAATCCTCTACAAAAAAAAGGGACACTTGCTTCTGCCCCATCTAAAATTAATATATATGGGACACCTCTGACACTGTGGATGTTCCCAAGGGGTCCCTTTATTAACCCTCAGCGCGCATGCGCAGCGAGGGTTACGGTAGTCTTTCTGTCTGTCTGTCCGCGCGAGTTCTCGCACTACAGGCTACGAGGCGGCCAATGAGTGGCACCACATCTGGCGAGAGCACTGAAACACAGAAGAGCAAATATAGCAAATATGAGAGCCTCTGAAACACCTGAGCCATTACTCTAACCGCTAATGCAACTAGCTACCCTATGTTACGGTGAGACTCATGCTACTGGCTCAGTCGATGATGCTACAACTCGCGCATTTAGCGCCGAGGGTTTGCACTTTAGTGCTTTTCATTAGTCAGGTTTTTTTAACAGTATACAGCTGAAATCAGAAGATACTGACCATAAGCAACCAATTTCCCTTTGATGTCCCACCTGTCATAAACCTGAGAGTGAAAGTGATCAAAAGTCAACACCCACATTGCTCCGTATTATGCTCTCAGGCACAGAGTCAACTGCCCCTCCAGCGCTGAAGAAACCTTTGTCACTAGAGATAAACTGCAGCAAGCCACACGCAGCGAATTCTATTTCTAACTCTAGCTCTCTTTTCATTATATAGAAGTTAGCATGAATCTTTTCTTAAATCTTAATTATGCAAAGCGCAGTGAAGATACAATTTAGAGGTGTGATACATAATAAATGCATTGGTAATGTAAACAACATTGCATGAAAGAGAAAGCATTTCTAAAGTGTGAAACATGTCACATGGACCCATCTTACCAGTACATTTGAAGTTGCATGCAAATCAGTCTCACCCAACAGAAAGTTACATATCATGTATATATCATGGCATTATTCTATGTCAAAAAGCGAGAGATATATTATACAGAAGTATAATTGGTAAATATATTATGCTTTTTTCACTAACGTTACCACGAGCAGGCGCCTGTACTGAAAAAAAAAGTGAAAATAATTTTATCACAAAGTAGGGTATAAACTGGGCGGGCACTAAACGACAAATTAATGATGAAGCAGTAATCTTGCTATTACACAGCAAGAGAATTTTGGCTATAGATTGCAAAACACACCGTACAACAAACCAATCACGCTGCGGGCCCTTCTGATACCAGTTTTTCTTGCAACTCTTCCTTTTCGTCGCTCAACCTCTTACACAGGCTCTTCATTGCCTTTAGCTGTGCAGTAAAGTCCTCCTCCATCTGTGCCATACTAGTACACTGCTCAACGTTGCGAAGCCTCAGTTGCTCCATCTCAGACACTTTCTCCGCTATACACTGCTTCAAAACCTTTACTTCCAGTTCGAGATTTCTTTCCTTTCCGGCAGACTCTACCAGGCCACGGGCGTCGTCTGAACTGACACGCGAACGACTCGAGGATTCGTCGCTCCCCGCGTCTTTTCCGGCTTCCTCGCTGGGTCTCGAGGAGCCTCGCCGTCTGAAGAGACTTCGCGACTTCTTCATTTTCTCGCTGTTTTGTCTCTCACTTCCCTGGATCTGTGGTGCAGGGAGGAAGGGAGTAAATGTGTTATTACGCACTCACGCGTGAAAACGTGTGTACCTCGTACTAACTCGCACTGTGTGCCCGTGATGGGAGGGGGAGCTAAATGGATATTTCGGTAGCTCTCAGCTAGAATTCGAATATGCTGTCAATTTATTAATTGCCGGTAAAAATTCTCTGGATATTTCTTTAGCTAAGATTAGAGCTAAGTGACAGCTGGGTAGAAAGATAAGTTTTTGATATTATATAACGCAGCTCTCAGGCCAAGGTGTGAAAATGAGACAACCTTGCATATATAAAAGCAAAAAGCATCTACCTGACACTACATGCAGAGATTAGTCTACAGCACCCGTTGTGCATAAATGGCAGTAAAAATTTACACACTGCTGTAAGCGCTATTTATAGTAGTCACTTCTAAAGAACCTAAAATCGCCCTCATTATCTTGGAAGGAAGTGCTATACAAACAGTTGTTAGGTCTTTGCTGGATTCAGAGCTTCCCACATTTGCTATACTAAAGCTGTTACTTCGTGATGCAAAATGACATGTTTGGACCTATCAAAACAGTTTTCGTAAGAGATTCTCCTTGCATGGTGCTGGGGCTGTTTGCATGAGACTGCACATGCGGCACATGCACACTGGAAAAGGTGGCAAGATCAAGTGCATGAGGTGAGTTGCATACAATTCATGCTCCATAATAATAGACAATGCCCTGATATAATATAGACACACTTTGTCCTAGCATGTGTGAATCTTAATCGAGGCGTATAGCTACTGCACAAAACGAGCAACGCAAGCGAAAATTAACACCCAGAATATCACTTTCTTCCGCAAGTTCAACGTATGGGTGGGATTAACCAGGCCATATATACATGCGGCAACTTTGTTGCTCCAACAAAAGTTGCAGCAACTTCCAAAGTATTGGTACAATGGGCACAGGCAACTAGTTACCAGAAACAGAAAAGCAATCTGTTTCTGGTAACTAGTTGCCTGTGCCCATCGTACCAATACTTTGGAAGTTGCTGCAACTTTTGTTGAAGCAACAAAGTTGCCGCGTGTATGGCCTGCTTTAAACAGACATTGTACAGTACATAAGGTACAGTACTAATAGTATGTATCTGGACTAATACTAAAAACACCCACCACTATAGATGGGAAACCATCACACCATAGCTTCACCTGAGCCCAGTATACACACACGTAAGGGTATCCAGTTGTCTTAGAGCCCACACCACTTAGCTGGAACCACTTAGCTTACTGAGCACTGTGGCTACTTTACAATGCTCTCATGTTCTCCCTTAATTTCACACATACATTAGGTGTGCATGCCTGGAGACCTTTAGCACGATTGGATAATACAGCATGAGAACCAGCTTCGGTCAGGATTCAAACTCTGGCATAGTGACTGAAGCTCACAATTCATACATGTAGCTCTGAGCTTTCGAAGTGGGCGACCGTACAGTGGTGTATTGCCTTAGCCACTATGTCAGCACAAAGCTCCTATGATCCAGTGTGACACAACCAGGAACAAGAGGTAAAGAAAAATCTCTATTATGCATAGGTGTCCCTTAGTCAGGTTTTTTTTACTGTATACAGCTGAAATCGGAAGGTAATGAATGACCGTAAGGAACCAATATATTAGTTTCCCCTTTGATGTCCCATCTGTCATAAACTTGAAAGTGAAAGCTATCAAAAGTCAACACCCACATTGCTCCATATCACTTCTCAGGCACAGAGTCAACTGCCCCTCCAGTGCTGAAGCTAGCAGAAGCCACAAGGACCTGCCTAATGTGATCACTCCTACTTATGAGTTTGTGGGCAAACAGCTCATTATGGAGAGGGAGGGAAAGGTAAGCCTTTTCTGTCTTTGTCTACTCATTTTGGCAGGTGTGTGAGGCTGAGGTATGCAATGAGCTGAGGCAGAGTTTGTTTACTATTGCCTAATTGATCCTAGCTACACCTGTGATAGCTACACCTGTGATAGCTATACTGTCTGAGTATACTTGTCCAGTGCATTCAGTTACTATACTACTATACTACCAGTGTATATAACTTGTAATGAGTCAGTACCTTCACTAAGTAAAACGCCTCACATTAAAACTGAGAGAAACAATTTTTTCTACAGTTCACTCCATAGAGGCTATGATTGAACTAATAATTGTACATGATCAATCCTACATTAGGCTAGATATAAATTGTGTAATTGAACAAGACAACCAGATTCAGAGGCTCACGTACTTCGTACCGTAGTTGGATGCACTAATTGTTTAGCCTTAGCAATGCCACAGTAAAATGGGAGAACACGGAAAAGCCCTGTAAAATGGCAAAAAGCTGCCAAATACTTCAATAAGCGTTAGTTCTTCTCAAACAGCTTCTGCCAGTTCTTACTCTTGCCCAATTACCTCAAATAGCTTCTGCCTAATATGACAGTATATATGTACTACCATCTTCTCATCGGAGTTGAAATAGAGAATCAGCTATGGTACAAATTGTTTCGCATAAACGTGTCATTATGTTCAGCAGCAACAGAAATTTACCACAATGTTGACCACAAAAAAAGTACAGATAAAATGGAAATAAAGAACATAATATACTGTGTGGGCCACTTTAACGGGCTCCAACTTACTTACGCACTGTATCGAAATATAATCATTCAGCAGGGAGTTCTCACATGCTTAGGTACGCGCTCCATTGACGTATCACGATACACAGAGATATTATAACCCAAATGTGCACGTATAATAATAGGTACATAGCACTCTTCTATGCCGTGGTAAAAGCGGTAAACGAACTATCTCACAGGTGTCTTCTGCACTATACCGAAACATAATCATTCAAATGAGTCAGTGCAAACAGGATACTTAGCAAACCCAACAGAAACTTCACCATATATACAGCACAACAGTCCCCATACGTTTCCCATTGACTACACGTGTGCGTCTTTGTATTATTCAACAAGACACCTCAATTCCTAAGTAAGGCTCTTTAGCACCAAGTTGCAAGGCTACGTGCGTAATTATAATTTCAGCTAAGTCAGCTACACACCTGGTGGAGCAAAACGCTAGAGTGACGATAACTGGTAACTGCTGGATTGAAGGCTTATCCTCATCTAACCAACTGTTACAGCATGCACATTATAACACATAATACAGTCATAATAGATCCCAGTGTTTATTGGTCCAGGTGCCTATTTCCCATATACTACCACTATTTCCCAATAACAATCTAGTTATGCACAATGCATTGAGGATTAGAGATAATCTTTTGTGTATATATACATAGAGCTCACTTCGGCCTCCAGCTCCTCAATTCTCTGTTCTTTCTGCTCCAACATTATCTCCAGGGACTCTATTGTATCAGACAGTCTCTTTATCTTCAGCTGAATCTGACAATCTTCTTTCAGATGCCTCATGAGCTGGTCCCTGGCTATCTTCACGGAGGACGAGCAACCATTGGGGCATTCGATTGGGTATTTGGTACAAACGGGCCAGTGTTTCCTGGACACTGTCTCGTAGCTGGCCGTATAGTTGGAACAGTAGGTGCAGGTATAGGTTCGCTTTGGGCAGTGGACGGTTTCGTGATCACGGCATATGTCCTTCGGGACGAATAGGCCGCACGAAGCACACTTTGCGGGCTTCTGCTCGCACTTGACTAGGTGCTCACCGAGCTGACCCAGTTCGCCCGTCCAATCGCAGCCCCAGTAGGAGTTTGAGCACTTTACCTGTAAGGCGTTGATGTTCTGCGTTACGCTAACGTCCCGGAACGATTGTACGAAGCCGCGACACTCCGGGCACGGGGTCGCCTTCTTGACCAGCTGTTGAATGCAGCAGTTACAGTAGTGAGCCCCGCAGCACTGCGTCTGGTGAGGGTCGCGGAGTATCATGGCGCAGATCGGGCAGATGAACTTGGCCGGAGGCTCTTCCACGAATTTGCAGTCGAATCCGTACGTGTCTTCGTCGGTCCCCGTGTTCGAGTAGGTCATCTCGCCGTTGGTGAGTAACACGATCGTCCTCTCTTTAGCCCTGCTGACCAGACACCTCAGGTAGATGAACACGCACACTGATGCGCATTCACACGCTTCATTCGTGCAAGGTCAAAGGTCAATGTTATCGCGCGTTTATTACGCATGCGCATTATAGTATATAGTGTGGTCGTCGCGTCGATCGTTGCGCCGCCGCGCGGCGCGGGCGGGGACACCGACGCGATCGCGACACTATAGCATTATGGTCTCGGATTGGCTTTTTGCACTAGCTATTCGTTCCCCTTGGTTCTTGATTGCTATTAGCTATCCTTGCCAGCGCGTATTACCCGTGCCAGCCCCTACGCGTTCACTGACTCCCATACACGGGTGTTGCCGCGGAATCTGCTGTTGCATCATTAGTGCATAACTCCTGAATGGCTGGAGGCTCCTGTGAAAACACCAGTAAATTGTTGTGGGACAATGTTTACTCGGCCATTCTCACCCAGAACTGAACTATTCTGCATTTATCATTCATTCATTAGCTATAGGTGACCAGTAAGCTACCCTGGCTCTTTAAATCAGTATTGGGCTTAGTAACGTAATGTCCGAACCCCCAGCGTACATGCCCTAACGCGTTGCACGCACGTATGGTCCCGCCACTCCTTCATGCTAACGCTCCACATTCCGGGCGGCTCGGTGCGGGGATGAGAGGTCTCGATCTGGCGAGGTTTCTGGTGCAAGCTACCGGCAAGTGAATTCCTGTTCCATCTTAGTTGCTTGGGTTAGCTACAGAGTAGATACCTAACTAGCAATAACAAGGATGAAAACTTACCTCAACTCTAGCTGCTCAGGAATACTTCCTAGCTGCTCACATGTGGAGCAACAGCACCATGCAAGCAACAGTCACACAGAAGATGCTACTGCCACTGACTACCGGTGAAGAATGCGTTTGCATGCATTCTCCGCTACCTTCCTTCAAGCAAACCTGGTAATTAGCAACAGTGGCAAAGCAGCTTTTTTGTCTTCGGTATATAGCTATAATTCTATCATTCATAGTAATGTGGATGGCACCACTATGAGCAAAAACTCCTGTGTCTCCGATATACTGGGGGAGTATAGTGTATAAAAGGGGACGCCCTGGACCAGTAGAAGCATGACCCTGCAAAGCGGTATCCATAACGTTTCTGACTTATAGGAAGAACAACCTTGTTTAGGTTTTACCTGCTAGCAGTTGGCGATCGAAGGCTTGGCGGTGGTATATAGCACATACAGGCATTTGGAGCATAAGCGCATAATAGCCTAGCGTTTGGCTCACGTGCTAAAAACAGCTTCAGTATATAAGGCTATCTACTGTTACCGCATGCATTTTAGCATGGTAATGTTCTATCAAAGAATATTTGAATCACGCAGCATATTAATAGATACATACAATAGGAAACTACAATAGTCAGTCAAACACTAAATGAGCTAAAAAGAGCCAGTCACTACTGCTGCAATTGTTGCTTTGCTGGAGCTCAGTTGAATTTTGGGACCTGTCGTCCAGAGTCACATTTGTCAGGTTCACAGACTTTGTGTCCCTCTGTGTCTTTCACACAGAAGCAGTCAGACTCCTGCATTGCCTCCGCTGAGAAAGAGAGAGAGACACCAACAATTTGCTAATATGTATACATGTTAGTCTGTGAGCCCAGTTCAATGCACACCCCAGAACAGGGAGAGAGAGAGATGTGGTTAAACACCAGCCACCAAAGCACATAATAAAATTTGTCCCAAGGCTACCATAAGTCCGTAAAGTCCAACTATTTCAGCCATATGGTTAAGATTTAGCTACACATGCCGTGGAGAGCTAACACACCGAATTTTCCTTCAGATAGAGAGCGACAATGTTCATCACCATTGGCATCTGTCTCGCAGATCTTCACTCCTTCAACAGCATCTAAATCAGGGAAGTAAAGTTTGTTTTCAATCGTAGAGGGTGAGCTGATGTTTGTAACAAAACTTTATACCGTCAGTGGCCTCTTCCTGAGCCTGAACATCGTTACAGTGAGGCAGTGATCCAGGTTCATAGCAGCATCCAGGCGCGAAGCCATCTGGAATAATTAACCAGATTTTACAAACACTGAACATTGCATTACATTTTGCAAAAATGGGCCACAAGCATACAAGGATGGATTCCACTCCTTTTCTTGGTCTTCTCCATTCCTTATATTAATCATAATCTCTTACTCTGGCAGATGACTGTAGACCAGCAATAGCTTCCGGAATACCAGAAAAAGTAGTAGCATTGGCTAGGAAAAAGGCACTTTGTAGATGGTAGTCCAGAAACACAGAGTCGTCCATCTGAAAAGAAAAAAACGTATCACTAGCTAATGGTGCCTGATCCTTATAGAACCTCAGATAAAGGACAGGACAATCCGAATAAAGGGGGAAAAACTAATAAGACACGCTATTATGAAGTCCCTTATCACCCTATAAATATTTTAAGCTTCCACTATAGATATACTGCTTACTTTTAGTGCAGCCCCTTAGATAGAAAATGTCCCTGTTGATGGTTGCCCTGAAAAGGGTGTTGCTTTTGCAGGTGACAGCAGCAGCAGTTGCTTGCTGTTGATCCTTGGTGGGGTAAGCTGCAGCCACAGCAATTAGGGCTGATACTAGCAGGAGTGCCACTTTGATTTCCATTGCTTTTTTTGAGTGGGAGCGTGGTGATTGGGTTTGGAGCTCAGGAGAAGAAGTTGCTTCTGCAGTTGCTGGATGGATGCAGTGTGCTCCAAATCCTGTCCTTTTTATACCATCCCAACCTGACCCAATGACCTGTGGTGAAGTCACTTTACTTTAAGTTGGACACCAGACTCGGCTTCCTTTGTGGAATATTAATAGTGAAGCTCGAATGTCTTCTTTCAATTGAATATTGATGGGTGTCATTCCGTAGTTACTAGCTATATAATTGCTCGATTGTCTTGCAATTGAATATTGATGGCTGTCATTCCGTAGTTACTAGCTATATAGTTGCTCGAATGTCTTCTTGCAATTGAATATTGATGGGTGTCATTCCATAGTTACTAGCTATATAATTGCTCGATTGTCTTCTTGCAAGTGAATTGATGGGTGTCATTCCATAGAAATCCTAAACGAGTTCTATTTACTATTATAGCACTCCTACAAAACGTCACCGACCGCAAGTCTCACTATATAGCATAATTCTTGTAACTGTTAGTGCTTGCTCATTTTGCGTTCAGGCTCCGTACGGGAGATTCTTCTGGACAGTCGGTTTCTGTTGTGGAATATTTAGTGAAGCTCGAATGTCTTCTTGCAATTGAATATTGATGGGTGTCATTCCGTAGTTACTAGCTATATAGTTGCTCGATTGTCTTCTTGAAAGTGAATTGATGGGTGTCATTCCATAGAAATCCTAAACGAGAGTTCTGTTTACTATTATAGCACTCCTACAAAACGTCGCCGCCCGCAAGTCTCACTATATAGCATAATTAACTCTCGGCGCGCATGCGCATCGAGGGTACCGGTAGTTGGGTTTGTCTGTCTGTCTGTCTGTTACTCTCAATCTCACTTCTGGAATGCCTGTTCGTCTCACAAACGATACGACCTACTTAACGGGCAATGAAGGTCAGAAATTTCGAACGGTTTTCTCTGAAAATACTTCGTTGCAAAGCTAGAGCGCATTCAGCATTGTATGGCTAATGCCGGTAGTCGGCATTTTGTCGCTGGCGGATAATGCGCATGCGCTTATATTTAGCACAGGCGGGCGACCGGGTCCGCTTGCTCTGTCGATCTTGAAGGCACAAGAAGTCATCTCGCTCGCGTGCTTATATCTACTACTGTAGCTAGCCCGTGTCAGACTCTCTGCGAGCTACTTCGCCGAGGGTTTGCACTTTAGTGCTTTTCATTGGGTTTGTTTGTCTGTCTGTTACTCTCAATCTCACTTCTCGAGTGTTCGTTCGTCTCAAAAAGGATACCACCTACTGAACGGGCAATGAAGGTCAGAAATTTCGAACGGTTTTCTCTGAAACTGCTCGGTTGCAAAGCTAGAGCGCCAATACACAACGGCTTACCACAGTCGGATCGATCCGCGTGCTCTGCGTAAGGTAAGGGCGGGTAATTCGGAATAGCGGGTAATTCGGAATAACTCCCGTTGCGGCGGCTATTTTATAAAATAGTTTGGTCAGGGCAGGCTGTCACTGTTATTAGAGGTAGATTTGGATATTAGCTTATACATACCTGTGTTGCGCTCTATGTCCGTCGTGTCTCTTGCGTGAAGAGAGCTCAAACTTTCAGTTGACTACTGACTTCAAAGGTGATAGGCGATCGGAAACTTCGATAGGCTGCTAGAAGTAGAGCAGACTACGGCGATCTAAAACAGCTAAAGCAGACTACAATGAAGGCTAAAGATATCGAACATGCAAGCTGCCCCACAGCCAGTTTCAGTGTAGCATACCAAGAGGTCAAAGTTTTGCGACGCGCGCAGCTAGCTCTGGCGCGAGCACACCTATGCGAGTAACGGTATAGAAAACAGTAATCACGACGGCTATAATCCTTTGTTTATGTGCAAAATAGTGTATTTACCTGGATATGTACGCTGCAGGCCATACAGGTTAGACGTATCGCTGCTGTAGCTCTACTATTCCGTATTACCGGCGCATGCGCATAACGGACGGGACCGAGAAATCGGTCCCGCGCGGACAAACGAAACGATGTAAAATTGTTCTGTTTTCGGCATGACAGAGAGTAAAGGTTAGTGTATCTTTGCGTTGGTTATAGTATTCCCTGGTGTTGATCTGCAATCAAATAAGAACGTTTTTTCTGAAGTTCATTCCGAATTACCCTCCCTTACCTTACTTCGGGGGCACCAGAAGATGCAACGCAGGGCGTGAATCACCTCTTGCATGCTATCTAGCAGTGTAGTTAGCCCGCGTCAGACTCTGCGCGAGCTGGGAAGAGACCACGGCTAAAACTAAACCCAGCCCATCAATTAGTGGTACGGCGCATGCGTTTACTTACGCGTGCGCGTCACAGTGCGCCGAGGGTTTGCACTTCAGTGCTTTTCAGTGCTATTTACTACTGTAGCTAGTCCGTGTCAGACTCTCCGCGAGCTACTAGCGTGGATACCACGAGTAAACGCATACTAAAAGCCTAGCCCATCAATTAGTTGTACCGCCCGTGCGCAGTTCGCCGAGGGTTTGCACTTCAGTGCTTTTTCATTGGGTCTGTCTGTCTGTCTGTCTGTTACTCTTCATCTCACTTCTCGAGTGTTCTTTCGTCTCACAAAGGATACCACCTACTGAGCGGGCAATGAAGGTCAGAACTTTGGAACGGTTTTCTCTGAAAACGCTCCATTGCAAAGCTAGAGCGCTTCCACCATTGTACGTAGTCGGCCATTTTTATCGCTGCGGAAAATGCGCATGCGCTTATATTTAGCACAGGACCGGGTCTGCTTGCTCTGTGTATTTTGAAGGCACAAGAAGTCACAACGAAGGGCGTGTATCGACTCTCGCATGCTATCTACTACTGTAGCTAGCCCGTGTCAGACTATCTGCGAGCTATATACTAGCGGGAGACCGCGAGTAATCGCATACTAATATACCGCGCATGCGCAGTTCGCCGAGGGTTTGCGCTTCAGTGCTTTTCATTCTTGTAATTAGTGCTTGCTCATTTTGCGTTCAGGCTCTGTACGGGAGATTCTTCTGGACAGTGGGCTTCTGTTGTGGAATATTTAGTGAAGCTCGGATGTCTTCTTGCAATTGAATATTGATGGATGTCATTCCGTAGTTACTAGCCATTATAGTTGCTCGATTGTCTTCTTGAAAGTGAATTGATGGGTGTCATTCCATAGAAATCCTAAACGAGAGTTCTGTTTACTATTATAGCACTCCTACAAAACGTCACCGCCCGCAAGTCTCACTATATAGCATAATTCTTGTAATTAGTGCTTGCTCATTTTGCGTTCAGGCTCTGTACGGGAGATTCTTCTGGACAGTCGGTTTCTGTTGTGGAATATTTAGTGAAGCTCGAATGTCTTCTTGCAATTGAATATTGATGGGTGTCATTCCGTAGTTACTAGCTATATAGTTGCTCGATTGTCTTCTTGAAAGTGAATTGATGGGTGTCATTCCATAGAAATCCTAAACGAGTTCTATTTACTATTATAGCTCTGTGTGTGTGTGTGTGTGTGTGTCTGTTACTCTACATCTCACCTCTCGAATGTCTGTTCGTCCCAGAAACGATACAGTCTACCCAACGGGCGACGAAGGTCAGAAAATATGTGGGGTTTTCTCTGAAAATGCTCCGTTGCAGAGCTAGAGCGCTTCCACCACTGTACGGCTAATGCGGGTAGTCGCCATTTTATCGCTGGCGGATAATGCGCATGCGCTTATATTTAGCACAGGCTTACCTCGACCGGGTCCGCTTGCTCTGTCTATCTTGAAGGCACAAGAAATCACAACGAATGGACTCTCGCGTGCTATCTACTACTGTAGCTAGCCCGTGTCAGACTCTCTGCGAGCTACTTCGCCGAGGGTTTGCACTTTCATTAACCCTCGGCGCGCATGCGCAGCGAGGGTTACTGTAGTTGGGTTTGTCTGTGTGTGTGTGTCTGTTACTCTACATCTCACTTCTCGAGTATTTGTTCGTCCCAGAAACGATACCATCTACCCAACGGGCGACGAAGGTCAGAAAATATGTGGGGTTTTCTCTGAAAATGCTCCGTTGCGAAGCTAGAGCGCGAAAAAGCTAATATGCAAATACGCAACGGACGGGAAGGCTTACCACGGTCGTGCTCTGCGTACTTCGGAGGCACCAGAAGATGCAGCGCAGTGCGCCGAGGGTTTGCACTTCAGTGCTTTTCATTAACCCTCGGCGCGCATGCGCAGCGAGGGTTACTGTAGTTACCCTCGGGCGCATGCGCATTGGGTACTGTGGGTTTGTCTGTGTGTCGTCTGTTACTCTCATCTCACCTCTCGAATGTCTGTTCGTCTCACAAACTATACGACCTACCTAACGGGCGACTGAAGGTCAGAAATATGTCGACGGGTTTTCTCTGAAAATGCTCCGTTTCAAAGCTAGAGCGCTTCCACCATTGTAC